ACACACATTTTTTCTATGTATCACACGTTTTGTATTTATACTTGTGATCGATTAAACGAACAGAACAACTAATTAGCAATTAATGTATAAACACACGCATAATTATTTATTGCATACATATTTCAAACGTACAGTAATAATTGTAGGTTTAGATAAACCGCACTTTTTAATCAGTTTATTGTAATTTGTGGGTTACCGTATAAATTATGCAATGGAACATTTATTTTCATCGAAAAACCATTATGTAATTAAACGCATGGGCAAAACTGTCCAAAAACAAATTAATGTATAAAGAAAGAAATTGAGGCAACAATATAATCAATACTTTTTATAAACATTGTCATAAAAGAAGTGCCATCATTTTATTTCGTCAAAGTATTTGATGGTCATATTGTGTGAACAATCAATAAAATTTTATAGTAAATACTTAAAGGCTCTATATTTCTATATTTTTTTGGGAAAAATCAAAAACCTTTTTTTTAAAGTCGGTTTTTGTATAAACCCTACAAAATATTATATCTTCAAGATTTTTATTAGTACAAAATTTTTCTCACATGTTATTAAAAGTTAGTAATATCTGGGTTTTATGACCAATACTCCTGTTTTTCCTATATTTTGTTCATATCCTATAAAGTTTATAGGTTGATGAATCAGCCTGAGTAGTTTTGTTTATCCGGCAAAAATGACAGCTGTTATATTGTGTCAAAGTGAGAAACTTGTGAAATACTCTTAGCATTTGTTTCGCTAAACAAACAAATAAGAAGTGATTGAGAAACGCTGTTCTTAATAGATGTTTTCTAACAATACATAGGACAAAACAGCTCACAATTTTACATTTCAAAGTCTCCTTAATCAGCGCTTCTCAAACTATGGTTGGTGACTCAAAATTGACAAAAACAGATCACAATTTCACAGTTAAAAGCCTCCTTAATCAGCGCTTCTCAAGTTATGGATAACGAATCAAAATTGACAGCTGTCATCTTGTGTCAAAGTGAGGAACATGTGTAGTTTTAGCAATTGTTTCGCTGTACAAACCAATAAGATGTGATTGAGAAACTCTGTTTTTAATCGATGTTTTCTAACAATACATAGAACAAAACAGATCACAATTTCACAGTTAAAAATCTCCTTAATCAGCGCTTCTCAAACTATGGGTGGCGAATCAAAATTGACCATAATGAAAGCTGTCATCTTGAGTCAAAGTGAGGAACTTGTGAAATAGTCTTAGCAATTGTTTTGCTGTACAAACAAATAAGATGTGACTGAGAAACGCTGTTTTTAATCGATGTTTTGTAACAATACATAGGACAAAACAGATTACAATTTCACAGTTCAGTCTCCATAGTCAGCGTTTCTCAAGCTATGGGCGGTGACTCAAAATTGACAAAAATGACAGCTGCCACCTTGTGTCGAAATGAGAGACTTGTAAAACACTATTAGCAATTATTTCGCTGTACAAAGAAATAAGACTGAAAAATGCTGTTTTAATTCATATTTTCTAACAATACATAGGACAAAACAGATCACAACTTTACGTGATGACAAACAATACATAGGACAAAATAGATCAGAATTTCACAGTTAAAAGTCTCCTTAATCAGCGTTTCTCAAATTATGGGTAGTGATT